CTTGCACACTGTTCATGGGATGATACATAAAACAGTACAGAGCTGCCTCAACAACTGGAAACTAGAATCACCATACGATCTAGCAATTCCACTAACTGGGAAAATTCCAAAGGGAAATGAAATTCATCCGTCGAGCTGTCTGCACTCCACAAGAGCCAAAACACGGAAACAACCTAAGGATCCCTGTACTGATGAAAGTCTAAAGAAAATGGGTGTGTCAACATGGAAATGTAACTCAGTCATAAAAGGATGAGATGCTGTCATTTACAACACCTTGACTGAACCCTAGGTGACAACACCAAGTGAAGCACGGTAACACAAACATCACATGATCTCACTCACATGTTGACTTAAAAACATAGAACGCTCACAAAACCTACAAATCTACTTGCGCTTACCAAAGCTGGGTGGCAAGTGGGGAGGGAAGGATGGGCAAAGGTTGGTTCATAGATGCTGGATTGTAGCTAGGTGGCAGGAGGTTTTGGGTTCCACCACACAATAAGGTGACTATAAAATCCTTCTCTCTCACTTGCTCTGTCTCCCTGTAACTCTCCCTTCTACACAAAAATAAATAAATCTTTACTATTTATTTGTAAAACTTTTCTAAAACAATTCAGATGACTCCCTCTGCCTTCATTTTACCACACATTTTTCCCATAGGAAACTGAATGCTAAAGGACTCACTCTGCTTAGCGGTTTCTGATTGGTAATGACTAAATACACAGCATGGAAATGAGAGGATACCGCCATCTTACCTTACACACAAACTCTTCCATTCTTTCCACAGCATGATGGGCTTGCAGGAGAGGGGACATGCCCATAAACCCCTCATCTTCATGGGAAACTTCTTCACTGCACTTCAGAGCTCTGTAAGGAAGCCAGTGAAATGGTGACAGAATGAGAATCAAACAATACAATAAACATTTTTTCCCCTTCTGCAGATCATAATTAAACTTTTTTTAAGATTTATTTTTACTGAAAAATGAGATATAGAGAGAGCAAGACAAACAAGAAATTTTCCGTCTGCTGGTTCACTCCCCAAGAGGCTGCAACAGCTGCTGCTGTGCCAATCTGAAGCCAGGAGCCCAGAGCCTCTTCTAGGTCTCCCACACAGGTGCAGGATCCCAAAGCTTTGTTTGGGATGTGTTTGACTGCTTTCCCAGGCCATAAGCAGGGAGCTAAAGAGGAAGCAGAAGTGCCGGGATATGAACTTATGCACATATGGGATCCTGCTGCATGCAAGGATCCGCATCGGGGCCTATGATCAAACCCTCTTTCTGTCAAGTACAAGCCCAAAAAGAAGCCGCACCTTCCCCAGCTGGGCCCCGCACCCAAGGACAAGCCACCTCCTCCCCAGAAGGACCCCAACCCAAGAACTAGCCGCCCCCTCCCCAGCTGGACCCCGCGCTCAAAGACAAGCCGAAACCTCTCCAGCTGGACCAAGCACCCAAGGACAAACTGCACCCTCTCCAGCTGGACCCCGCACTCAAGGACATACCGCACCCTCCCCAGCTGGACCCTGCACCCAATGACAAGCAGCACCCTCCCCACCTGGACCCCGCACTCAAGGAAAACCGCACCCTCTCCAGCTGGACCCCATACTCAAGGACAAGCCGCACCCTCCCCAGCTGGACCCCGCACCCAAGGACAAGCTCCCCCGCTGCCTCCCCTTCTCGGAACCCTGTGCCCTGGGGGTCTTATCTTGTAGATGTCCTCCCCAGCTGGACCCTGCACCCAAGGACAAGCTGCACCCTCCCCAGATGGACCCCGCACCCAAGGACAAGCCGCACCCTCCCTAGATGGACCCCGAACCCAAGGACAAGCCGCCACCTGCTCTCCTGGACACGTGGGAGGGCCAAGCAGCACCCTCCCCTTCCAGGACCCCTGTGCCCTGGGGGTCTTACCTTGTAGATGTCCGTTTCCCCTCAGAGTTCGCATGGTGCTGGTGAAGCCCAGTCGGTCTGTGAACACTCAGCAAGGCTCAAAGTCCAGGCACTCTGGGGTGACACCAACTCCACCTCTTGCACCTCAGGCACCCATGTGGGTCCAACATGGCGGCCACTGCGAGGCCCTCCTCTGTTCGGGTGCAGGTGGACAGCAGGTGGGTCGAGGGTCAGCTGGAGTCCAAGAGCCCTTCACGTCCACTCAAGGGCCAGCAGCGCATCTTCGGGCCGGAGAACTACTCCCCACAGAGAGCCCAGCGGTGCGTCCTCTCCCTCTGCTGCTTCTTTGCTGACTGAGGCTGCAGGGCCGCAGCACCTCGCAGGAAGTGACCATGCGTCAGTCCCTGCGCGTCAGCACCACGCAGGATTCCTCCGCCGGACGCCCCGCCACGGTCGGGACCCTTTTCTTCCTCTTCCCTGACCCACTGTACCTGGCTGTGCTTCCTCTCCGGGCCCAGGGAATTGGCTGGAGGGGACTGGGGCTGCTTGTTGCACTGGGCCCTGCACGAAAAGGGGAGAGATGCACTAAGGACCTTATTCAAAACCTTTTTAAATAAAGATTTATTTGGGCCCGGCACGATGGTGCAGTGGTTAAGCTCCTCACCTTGCACGTCCAGGATCCCATATGGACGCAGGTTCTAATCCCGGCAGCCCTGCTTCCATTCCAGCTCCCTGCCTGTGGCCCAGGAAAGCAGTCCAGGACGGCCCAAAGCTTTGGGACCCTGCCCCCGCATGGGAGACCCAGAAGATGCTCCTGGCTTCAGGTTGGCATAGCATCAGTTGTTGCGCTCACTTGGTGAGTGACTCATCAGATGGAAGATCTTCCTCTCTGCCTCTCCTCTCTGTATATCTGCCTTTCCAATAAAAATAAAATAAATCTTTTAAAAAATTAAAAATGATTTATTATTTATTCATTTTTATTGCAAAAGCACATATGTAGGGAAAAGGAGAGACATACAAGATGATCTTCTGTCCGATGGTTCACTCCCCAAGTAATCACAACACCTGGAATTGAGCCCATCTGAAGCCAGGAGCCAGGAACTCTTCCGGGTCGCCCAGGTGGGTGCAGGGTCCCAAGGCTTTGGGCCGTCCTCGACTGCCTCCCCATGTCACAAGCAGGGAGCTGGATGGGAATCGGGATGGTTAGGATTAGAACTGACACCCGTATGTACACGTGCATAAGGGCGCCGGTTCTAATCCTGGCAGCCCCACTTCTCTTCCAGCTCCCTGCTTGTGGATCCTGCACCTGTGTGGGAGACCCGGAAGAGTTCCTGGCTCCTGGATCGGTTCATCTCTGGCCATTGCGAGTCATCAATTGCTATGACAACTAAATTTGAAAAATAATACAGGGAGCATATGCTAAGTCAACAAAAATCCTTATCAAACTCATGATCAGTCTGGCAATCAAGATGAAATTTGGAGGGGAAAAAATGTTCTTTAGAATAGGTGAGATTTCAGTAGGACAGTGAAAAAAGTTGTCTTGAATAGAAAATTATGGAGGATACCACAACAATATAGCTTATGAGGAGAGGCTAAAAACACCAATGCTTTCAAGTGCTATCTAAAATCAACTAACACAGAGGCCAAACATTTGTCCATCAATACGGAATGAGAGAAGAGAGTAACTGTGTCTCCTGGAGTAGATTCAGTGCAGTCATGCACACAGTCAAAGGCAATTTGTAATAGACACAACTGGGCCTGCAGGATAGCGTAATGGTTAAGGTCCTCACCTTGAACCCACCAGGATCCCATATAAGGGCACCGGTTCTAATCCCGGCAGCTCCACTTCCCATCCAACTCCCTGCTTGTGGCCTGGGAAAGCAGTCAAGGATGGCCCAAAGCCTTGGGACTTGCACCCACATAGGACACCAGGAAAGAGGTTCCTTGCTCCTGGCTTAGGATCAGAGCAGCCCCAGCACTTGTGGTAACTTGAGGAGTGAATCATCAGACAGAAGATCTTCCTCTCTCTGTCTCTCCTCCTCTGTGTACATCTGCCTTTCCAAGAAAATAAATAAATCTTTAAATAACAGATAAAATTACGGGAAGATTAACAAGAGAAAGCGTGAATATAAGTATGTATTTTTAAAGTATAGAGAGAAAACAGAAGATGACTTCTCTTCACTCCTGGCTCATTCACTGTCCAAATGAACCATGAGTTTTTTCTGGGTTACCCACACAGGTGCCAGGGATCCAGGATCCCCAGCTGGCAGCCTGAAAGGAAGTGAGGCAGCTGGGACTCAAACTGCCACTCTATGAATGCTGGTGGTGTGAGCCATGGTTTCACCCACTGCACCACAGCAGCACTCCCATGCTGCACGAGTTCTAACCACCACACAAACCAAAGGACATGCTTAGCTACAACCATGCACATCTAAAGTAATCTCAGAGCAGTGCAGTTCTCAGTAACAAATATCTCAAAACTATCCAACTTCAACACAGTCAATGACATTTCTGTGAGGAATCATGCTGCTTCCAAACATTTCTGGAAGTTGGAATAATGTGGGAAAACTCTGCTTGGTTTAATAATTCACATTTCCATGAACTTACTGCAGACTTCTCATACACACTGACTTCAGTTTTTTTTCAAGAAAATTGTAGTTATTTTTCAATTCATTTTATTCATGAGCTTTTAAAAAAGATTTATCTATTTGTTTTTTGGAAAGGCAGATGTACAGAGAGGAGGAGAGACAGAGAGGAAGATGTTGCATTTCATGATTCACTCCCCAAGCAGCTGCAATGGCCAGAGTTGCACCAATCCAGAGCCAGGGGCCTGGGGCCTCTTCTGGGTCACCCATGCAGGAGCAAGACTTGAAGGCTTTGGGTCGTCCTCAACTGCTTTCCCAGGCCACAAGCAGGGAGCTGGTTGGTAAGCAGGGCTGCCAGGATTAGAACCAGCGCCCATATGGGATCCCAGTAGGTTGTAGGTGAGCACCTTAACCACTACACCCTAAATTCAACCAATCAATCTCAACAAAAAGCTTCTGCCCTTCCCTTCAAAGACATGCAAATAAAGGAATAAACTCAATCACCAATTCATTGCCCTTTCTTCATACATACCTTAGAGATGTGTCCACTTGTTGCCTGTCTCTGTGTGTATTCTGAAATGCTCTTTACACAGGCCTGGAAGGAAGGCAAGACAAGGAATTTAGCCACTAGACTACCACAGTGGGCCCATGGTTTACTTCTTAAAAAACTTTTCAGAAAGGCTGAGGGGGCTTATCTTCGCCATTTGAGGGTTCATACTGCAAATGTCCATTAAAAACTCCCAGGTCACAAGCAGGGAGCCATATGGGAAGCGAGGCCATCGGGATTACAACCGGCACCCATACGGGATCCTTGTATGTGCAACAGGAGGATTTAGCTACTAGGCTACTGTGCCGGGTCCCAAATTTGGTTTTTGGAGTACGAAAGTATTCGCTCTCTGCCTTTGTGCTAATCCTCCTGAAATAGTGATCAGCAGAATGCACTGACTCATTATTTTACCTTGTTTCTTATAAATTATCAGACATTAATGAAAATCCAGACTCTTCTTGGATCCACTAATCCAGACTCTAACCTTGGAAAATGTATCCATGTTCAGTTTATTTTTCATCCCTTGGTCCAATGTACAGAAGTCTAAATCAATTGGTCTCAGTTACTTTTAGCATCATTGTAAAATCCTAATTAAGTGTCCATGTACTAAGACTCTGTGTTTGGAACATGTGGTTTTTGCACGGACATTTGGCCTAACAACTGAGATGCTGCTTCACCTGCATCCCAGATGGAGAGCCTGGCTGAGGTCATGGATCCTCAGCATCCTGCTGATGCAGACCCTGGGAGCCAGCAGGGGATGGCGCATGGAGTAGAATTAGTGTCACTCATGTGGGAGATTGGATTTGGCTCCTGGCTTTAGCCTGGCCCAGCCTTGGCCACTGCAGGCAGTTGGGCTAACTGAAGGGAGCTCTTGAGCTCTCTCACTGGAGGGCATCTGACTAAGAGGCTCCTGTGCAGACAGCAATGCGAATAGTTACACATACACCAAGTTAGTTTCTCAAGAGCTATTGCAGTTAGGCAGGGGAAAGAATGCCTCACCTTGTTATAATCCTATCATGATGAGAGTCACATCAAAGAAAGCAAAAACAAGAGTTGTCCAGGCATGCCACCCTTCCCCCAACCCAGAGATGCAGAGAGAGTTGCCTCCTGAGTGGCCATGGGAGGACCAGGGCCATTGTGAAAAGTTCAGATGACAACACTTGTCCTGACCCCAGGACCACACCAGGGCAGTGAGTATTGGGAACTTTTACTGCCAGGTGGCCTCTGACAGCCTGCCCCAACCACCAGCAGGAAACAAAACTACAGCTGCACACGACACACTTCAGAGCCCATTATGCTGAGACCGGCACCTAATAAAGCCTACAGGACTCCAGTTTCTCACCAGTGCTCCCAGACTGGCATCATGCAGAGCCCTGAGCTCTGGAGGTTTGGACTCATTTTGCCATGTGTCACTGCTGGCCTCTGGTAGGTTAGATCAACAACCCTGGGACTTTGCAGGGACCTCTGACTAGGGGACCCAGCCTGTGACCCGCTCAGGCGGTTAGAGGCCTGCTTTGTCACTCTCTTCCAACCTTAGGTGAACAGCAACAGGTCACAGGACTGCGTCTTTAGGTTCATGTTGGACTAATAAAGCAGAACCTGATGGCTTCCATCTCAAGGTAAGTGTCAGCGAACGTAACAGACACTTCTTATCTGGTGAGACAGACCTGTGCAAGTACCATCATTTGCCTCTTACGGGCATTTGCACCCTCAAGATCACAAATGACCTGGTGACTATGAGACTAAGAATGAACACCTAGGACTGCCGGAGTAGTTGGGGGCTTTCTCATCATACCGACTACAACTCCGGAGAGCCAGCAAGGAGTCACAGGACTATTCCAGCCAGTACTAGGTCAATAAAACCCAGCAACGAACAGCTCCTAACAGTCCCTGGCCCCAGAGCACAGCAGAGTTCTCCACATGAGCAGTCTTCTACCTAAGCCAGCAGCAGCAGCAGCTGACAGGTGCAGCCCAGGCAGTCAGCCCTGCAGCAACACACAGGTCTAGTCCTATCTCCAGGTTTCACCTGTCTTGGTGACCAGAAGGCCCCAGACATGACCTAGCATTGTAGCATTCATGGTCAAAGCACAAGGACAGGCTCAGGAAGAGGCTTGGAGGAAGGCATGGCCCCTTTTAAGGCATACGCCCAGTTAACACTGAACACATTTACAGCAGATTTACCTAAATCTGAGTTGGAGAAGTACCACCCATCAACAGCAGCCCTGGGGCAAATCGTGGCTTAGGTGCTTCCTGTCTACTGCTGAAAAAACAGAAGTGTCCAGAGGCTCAGAGAAAACAGACTACCTAGAATTGCTAGGACATGCAGAAATGGAGCCAGAGCAGTGCAGCTCACCCTTCAGTGTACAACACTAGGTATCAACAAGCATCGAGAACTTTCAGGGAACCTTGCCCAAATAGCAAAACGCATGCCACAAAAATCAATCATCCTGAAATTCCCAAATTCCTGGATGATGATTTCAAAATAGCTGTTTTAATAAAGCTCAACAAAAATCAAGAGAACACGAAAAAATAATGCAATAGCCAAACAGAGATGTGACAGGTATGAATTACATAACATCAAGCACAAATCCTTCAACTGAAAATCAGACTTCAGTGGTTTTTAAACATGACAGATGGCACCATACCAAAACAGACCAAACAGAACAATCGCTGTACCCAAAGACAGGATATTTGAAAATATAGAACTGGAGGAGAAAAAATTTAAAAGGAATTAAAAAAACCTTACATAGGATAGCATAAAAAGAACCAATACTTGGATTATTAGAATTCAAACAGGATTCAAGAGGGATTTGAGAATGTCTCAAAGGAGAAGAAAGTAGATTCCAAGAAGTGATGACAGAAAACTTTCCAAAAAGAAAGATACAACCACATCAAGTACAAAGGTCACCAGTTGGATTCAACCCAACCAAGCCTACCCAAAAACGTTATAATCCAGCTCTCCAAGAGGATTCTTATAGTTACAAGACAAAGGAAATCACTCCCATTTCAATCTCCCACATGGGAAGGAAGAAGCCCAAATCCTTCCTCGCAGGGTCCCATGACATCGGACAATTTAACAACTTTGTGGGAAATGCACACTATGAAAAAACGAAGCAGGAATTTCAAAATTGTTTTGTACTAGAACAGACTTATTTCTAATTTCACCTTTTCCTCAAACTTTCTGAAGTAGTATTCTATGTCCACAGACCTTACTCATGTGATAAACTGAGGACAATCATTAACTCAGCTGTCACATCAGCTGGCTTGGCACCCAAGGACCCCGCACCCAAGGACAAGCCGCACCCTCCCCACCTGGACCCCGCACCCAAAGACAAGCCGCATCCTCCGCACCTGGACCGCGCACACAGGGACAAACCCCACATGCCCCAGCTGGACCCCGTACCCGGACAAGCCCCACACGCCCCAGCTGGACCCCGCACGCAAAGACAAGCTGCACCCTCCCTAGCTGGACCCCGCACCCAAAGACAAGCCACACCCTCCATACCTGGATCCCGCACCCAAAGACAAGCCCCACAGGCCCCAGCTGGACCCCGCACCCAAGGACAAACCGCACCCTCCAAACCAGGACCCTGCACCCAAGGACAAACCGCACCCTCACCAGCTGGACCCCGCACCCAAGGACAAGCCGCACCCTCTCAACCAGTACCCCTCACCCAAGACAAGCCACCCCCTCCCCAGATGGACCCCGAACCCAAGGACAAGCCACCCCGTCCCCAGATGGACCCCGAACCCAAGGACAAGCCGCCACCTGCTCTCCTGGACACGCGGGAGGGCCAAGCAGCACCCTCCCCTTCCAGGACCCATGTGCCCTGGGGGTCTTACCTTGTAGATGTCCGTTTCCCCTCAGAGTTCCCATGGTGCTGGTGAAGCCCAGTCGGTCTGTGAACACTCAGCAAGGCTCAAAGTCCAGGCACTCTGGGGCGACACCAACTCCACCTCTTGCACCTCAGGCACCCATGTGGGTCCAACATGGCGGCCACCACGAGGCCCTCCTCTGGTCGGGTGCAGGTGGACAGCAGGTGGGTCGAGGGTCAGCTGGAGTCCACGAGCTCTTCACGTCCACTCAAGGGCCAGCAGCGCATCTTCGGGCCGGAGAACTACTCCCCACAGAGAGCACAGCAGTGCGTCCTCTTCCTCTGCTGCTTCTTTGCTGACTGAGGCTGCAGGGCCGCAGCACCTCGCAGGAAGTGACCATGCGTCAGTCCCTGCGCGTCAGCACCACGCAGGATTCCTCCGCCGGACGCCCCGCCACGGTCGGGACCCTTTTCTTCCTCTTCCCTGACCCACTGTACCTGGCTGTGCTTCCTCTCCAGGCCCAGGGAATTGGCTGGAGGGGACTGGAGCTGCTTGCTGCGCTGGGCCCTGCAGGCAAAGGGGAGAGATGCACTGAGGACCTTATTCAAAACCTTTTTAAATAAAGATTTATTTGGGCCCAGCATGATTGCGCAGTGGTTAAGGTCCTCGACTTGCACGCCCAGGATCCCATATGGGCGCCAGTTCTAATCCCGGCAGCCCCACTTCCATTCCAGCTCCCTGCCTGTGGCCCGGGAAAGCAGTCGAGGATGGCGCAAAGCTTTTGGACCCTACACACACACACACACACACACACACACACACACACACACACCCCTACCTCTGTGGGAAACCGGAAGAGGCTCCTGGCTTCAGATCAGCATAGCATCGGCCGTTGCGCTCACTTGGGGAGTGAATCATCAGATGGAAGATCTTCCTCTCTGTCTCTCCTCCACTCTGTATATCTGACTTTCCAATAAATAAATAAATCTTCAAAAAAAAAGTTCAGAGAACAGCAGCCCTTGTCCTGGCCCCAGGACCACACCATGGCAGTAGGTATTCGGAACCTCTACTGCCAGGTGGCCTCTGACAGCCTGCCCCAACCACCAGCAGGAAACAAAACTACAGCTGCACACGACACACTTCAGAGCCCATTATGCTGAGACCAGCACCTAATGAAGCCTACAGGGCTCCAGTTCCTCACCAGTGCTCCCAGACTGGCATCATGCAGAGCCCTGAGCTCTGGAGGTTTTGGACTCATTTTGGCATGTGTCACTGCTGGCCTCTGGTAGGTTAGATCGACAACCCTGGGACTTCGGGAGAAATGCACACTATGAAAAAATGCAGCATGAATTTCAAAATTGTTTTGTACTAGAATAGACTTGTTTCTAATTCCACCTCTTCTCTTTAATCTTTCTGAAGTATAGTTCTACGTCCATAGACATTACTCATGTGTCATAAACTGAGGACAATGATTAACTCTGCTGTCACATCAGCTGGTTTGGCAAGGAGGGTAACCATGAGTGACATAAAAAGTGACAGCACATGTACAATGCGCTGGGTTATCAAAATTAAGTACAACAATTAACAGAATTACGTGTGCGTGTGTACATTTCCACCATTCATACACACACACACACACATACATATATAAGGAAATAATATTTTGGAGTCAACCCCATGGCATGGCAGGCAAAGCTGCCACCTGTAGTGTTAGACTAATACATAGATGTTACTTTGACCCCCGGCTGCTCTGCCTCTGATCCAACCTATGATAACTTTACTATAAGGACTAAAAGCATTATAGCCATGGGCTGGCATGGTGGTGTGCCATCTCTTTTGGGCACCAGTTCACATCCCAGCTGCTCCACTTGAGCAAGTCCTGACTAATGGTCTGGGCAAGCAGCAGAGGATGGCTCAAGTCCTTGAGCGCCTGTGCACATGTGGGAGACCAGGAAAAAGCTCCTGGCTCCCAACCGTGCTCGGGTCCAGCTCTGGCCATGGTGGCCATTTGCAAAGTGAACCAGTGGAAGGAAGAACCACTCTCTGCCTCTCCCTCGCTTTGCAAGTTTGTCAAATAAAACACATCAATTGTTTAATAATAATAACAACATTAAAGCATCCCAAAGCGGGGCCTGTCACTACGGCACAGCATTAACTTAAGCTGCCACCTACAATGCCAGCATTCCCTGTCAGGTCCTGCTTCAAGCCCCACTGTCTCACTTCTGATTCCACTTTCTGCTAACACATCCTGGGGAGCCAGAGAAGACAGTCCAGGCGCATGAGTTCCTGCCACCAACGTGGAAGACCAGAAAGGAGTTCCTGGCTCCTGACCTCAGCCTGGCCAAGCCCTGGACGTTAGAAGCCACTTAGGGAGTAAAACAGTCAATGGAAGATAGCATCCTTTCTCTGTCTCACTTCATTGTTCTCCCTTATAAATAAAAATAAAATATTTCTCAAAACATTTTTTTAAATATAGGTTGGGAACAGTATGTAGAAAATATTAAAACTGTTTACATCTTTATGTTTCCTGTTTGTTTCCTTCTCTATGATAAGTTGTTTATTATAGTCAATACAGTTTTTTTAAGCCTCAAACTAACTACAAAATAAAACTTACACACAGATTTAGCAAGGAAATCAAAGGACACCACTAGAGAGAATCACTAAACCACAAATGAAGACTGAGGGAAACGGATGGACAATAAAAACACACAGGTCTTAAAACGGAAGCAGTAAGACATAATCAATCAACAATGATCTTAAATGTCAACAGACTCAATTCTGCAATTAAAGGCACAGACAGAGGGGTGTCAATGTTGTGGTGGCAGCAAGTGAAGCCGCCACCTGGGATGGGGTGCCAGCTCATGACCTGCCTGCTCCACTTCCGACCCAGCTCCCTGTGCATGTACCTGGGAAAGCAGTGGAAAGGGCCTCAGGCTTTGGGTCCCTGCAGTCAAGTAGGAGACCCAGTCAGGGTTCCAGGTTCCTTGCTTCAGCCTGGCCCATCTGCAGATGTTGTAGACATTCAGGGAGTGAGCCGTGCTCACGTGCGCTCTTTCATTGTCTTTTTCTCTCTGTCTTTCAAAGAAATCTCGAACACAAAAACTACTGAGAGAAAACACGGGGGAAATTACTCAGGACACTGAAATGAGCAGTGATTTTTTTAGATCAGACTGAAAAAGTATACTCCTTGATCCTTTTCCACAGTAAAAGAAGGAAAACAACCTAGCAAACAAACAACCTACAGGACGGGAGAAAATACGCACACTGCACACCTGACACGGGACTGGGAAACAGAAACTGAACCAGCTACCCAGCCAAAACACCACCAATAACCCAATTAAAAGAGACAGGAGATCTACAGGTAAGTCACCATCAATATGCTATACCATTTGAGTTCACTTTTGGTCCAACTTCCTGCTAATACATCTGGGAGGCTAGTGGGAAATGACCCCAACTATGGGAGCCCCTGCTACACATGGGGGGACGAGGATGCAGTTCCTGACCCCTGACTTTAGTGTAGACATGGATGCTGCAGCTATTTTAAGCATGAACCAGCAGTTGGAAGAGATACACACTCCGTGGGCCCCCTCCCCCTCCTTTTAAGAAAGATTTATCCAGCTAGCTCGCTGTAAGAGCTACAGGAGTGGGGGAGGGACACACACAGTTCAATCTTGCAACTGCTGGTGCATTCCACAAATGGCCCCAATGGCCAGGTCTGGACCAGGCCTAAGCCAAAAGAGTCTGGGTCTCCCCTGTGAGTACAACAGCCCAAAGAATAGGGCCATGCTCTCCTGCTTCCCCAGGCTATCAGCACAGAGCTGGAGCCAAAGTGGAGCTGCCAGGATACAAACCACACCCATAAGGGATGCAAGCTGTTCTGGGCAACAGCATCACTTACTGCCAGTCCCCTACTCTGTCTTACAAAAACTGATGGAGAAGATATAGAGAAAAGGGAATCCTTGCACACTGCTTGTGAGATTATACATAAAACAGTACAGAGCTGCCTCAACAACTGGAAACTAGAATCACCATACGATCTAGCAATTCTACTAACTGGGAAAATTCCAAAGGGAAATGAATTTCATCCGTGGAGCTGTCTGCACTTCACAAGAGCCAACACATGGAAACAACCTAAGGATCCCTGTACTGATGAAAGTCTAAAGAAAATGGGTGTGTCAACATGGAAATGTAACTCAGTCATAAAAGGATGAGATGCTGTCATTTACAACACCTTGACTGAACCCTAGGTGACAACACCAAGTGAAGCACGGTAACACAAACATCACATGATCTACTCACATGTTGACTTAAAAACATAGAACGCTCACAAAACCAAATCTACTTGCGCTTACCAAAGCTGGGTGGCAAGTGGGGAGGGAAGGATGGGCAAAGGCTGGTTCATAGATGCTGGATTGTAGCTAGGTGGCAGGAGGTTTTGGGTTCCACCACACAATAAGGTGACTATAAAATCCTTCTCTCTCACTTGCTCTGTCTCCCTGTAACTCTCCCTTCTACACAAAAATAAATAAATCTTTACTATTTATTTGTAAAGCTTTTCTAAAACAATTCAGAAGACTCCCCCGCCTTCATTTTACCACACATTTTTCCCATAGGAAACTGAATGCTAAAGGACTCACTCTGCTTAGCGGTTTCTGATTGGTAATGACCAAATACACAGCATGGAAATGAGAGGATACCGCCATCTTACCTTACACACAAACTCTTCCATTCTTTCCACAGCATGATGGGCTTGCAGGAGAGGGAACACCCCCATAAACCCCTCATCTTCATGGGAAACTTCTTCACTGCACTCATGTTCCCCAGAGCTCTGTAAGGAAGCCAGTGAAATGGTGACAGAATGAGAATCAAACAATACAATAAACATTTTTTCCCCTTCTGCAGATCATAATTAAACTTTTTTTAAGATTTATTTTTACCGGAAAATCAGATATAGAGAGAGCAAGACAAACAAGAAGATTTTCCGTCTGCTGGTTCACTCCCCAAGAGGCTGCAACAGCTGGTGCTGTGCCAATCTGAAGCCAGGAGCCCAGAGCCTCTTCCAGGTCTCCCACACAGCTGCAGGATCCCAAAGCTTTGGGATGTCTTTGACTGCTTTCCCAGGCCATAAGCAGGGAGCTAAAGAGGAAGCAGAACTGCCGGGATATGAACTTGTGCACATATGGGATCCTGGTGCATGCAAGGATCCGCATCGGGGCCTATGATCAAACCCTCTTTCTGTCCAGTACAAGCCCAAGAAGAAGCCGCACCTTCCCCAGCTGGGCCCCGCACCCAAGGACAAGCCACCCTCTCCCCAGATGGACCCCAACCCAGCTGGACCCCGCACTCGAAGACAAACCGCACCTTCTCCAGCTGGACCCCGTACTCAAGGACATACCGCACCCTCCCCAGCTGGACCAAGCACCCAAGGATAAGCCGCCCAATCCCAACTGGACCCCGCACTCAAGGACAAACCGCACCCTCTCCAGCTGGACCCTGCACCCAAGGACAAGCCGCACCCTCCCCAGCTGGACCCCGCAGC